CACACACACACACACACACACACACACACACACACACACGAGGAGACTGCGCAGAGGGTACGGCAATGCCTCGGACGCCACAGACATGAGGAATGAGAAATCTGGTACACGGCTGGTCACGAGAAGGGGTGTGTGTGGGCATGTGTGGGTGTGTGTGGGTGTGTGCGGGTGTGTGTGGGCATGTGAGGGCATTTTTTTGTTTTAGTAAGGTTTTACGGCGCTCGCAACTGCATACGATCATATGAGCGCCACGTATGTGTGGGTATGTGGGTAAATTTGATTATGTGCGGCTAAATTATTTGGGAATGTGTGGCAAAATAATTCGGGTAGTGTGGCTAAATTTCGGTATGTGTGGGTACATTTGGGAATGTGTAGCTAAATTATGTATGAGTAGGTATGAGACAATGTGTGGGTGTGTGTGGGTGTGTGTGGGTGTGTGTGTGGCTACATGTTATGGATATTACCCCGCCGTGTGTTTCCCCTCCCCACAATGCCTCCGGCGACCACCACCCAATAACTCAAGGCCTGACTCCACGTCTGCCCTGACGGCGTTGGCGGGAAAAGGCCGGATGTATCTGGTTGTGGCGCGGGCCAAGATGGTGACAAATTGGGGTATCATATTTGCCCTTTTTCTTTTTACTTCCAAGTCCTTGTGAATCAGCCTATGGAAATGTGAAGTAACGAAAATATACATGCAAGTGTTGGCAGCGCAGTCTAAAGATGTACATGTGATGTATTTATGACTGTGTTTGTAATATGATCTCATCCGTTTTCTTTTTGTTTGTCGGTTGGTGGGTGGTTTTTTTTAGGGTGGTGTGGTTGGGGTTCTTGGTGAAATTGTACAGGTTTAAGGCTCCTACCAACACTGTTGGGTTATTGAAGAGACGGGATCTTGAAATTTAACGTCCACTTGAGAGAGTAACCAACTCATCCACGAGCTGTGAACTTTGTGCTGTACTGTGATAGAATCCGAATGCTCTCTACAGTTTTCTACATGTACTTTCTTTCCGTGAGTCTGCAGAAATTTGGAGCCACTCAGACACACTTTTCTCTCTGTCGCTCTCTGCCTCTCTCTTTCTGTTTCTCTGTCACCCCC